TTCTTTCTATTAGGATTTTTTTTTTAAAAGGAAGAGAAAAAAAACCTGCATGTTATTTTACACAACATATATACTTCATATATATATACACACACATTATCTTTATATATATAGTTAATTACAGTTATATACATACACAAACACGCTTAGCCTTGCCATGAGCTGGACCTGGGGATCCAGAACCACAACAGCACCACAGCCATTGAGCCGGGCTGGAAGGAATGGCTGCAGAGCTGAAAGTTGGTTCCAAAGGATGTCCACTGACTCTGGCAGCCTCCAACACAGGCAACCTCAGATGCCGACTGCCAAGAAACAGTAGCACAAATGCTTTACCAACATAGTCTGAGACTGCAGATATAAAGTGAGTGTCGTGGAAAGGGACAGGCTGGCTTATCCACTCAAACCAACCCCATCATGCCATTCCCTCCTCTAACATAATTAATTGTTTAACTGATACTATAGGCACTGCAGCTACAGCAGTGCAGGTTCAGGACACAACAGTATCAGCATTATGCTGCCCCAGAATTTAACTTTACCTTTAAGAAAGCCAAAGAGAAATACAAACAAAAAAACTTGTATGGTCAAGTTCCCAGTCCAGTTCCTTGCCAATACAAACCTTACTTCAGTCTGCTTCATGCTACTGTTCGACAACATAGTTCGTACCACACTTTTTCAAACATTTAATGCCTTTAATGCACAAAAGGAACATGTAAAGATAGAACGAAAACTGCACAGAAACCTAGAAGAAATACCTTCATATTTTGTCCCATGTTCCTGCTATAAAAATAATTTTCTCTACCTTTATTCAATATGTTTTGAATAGCATCATCAGCTTAGTTCAAATTGATATCACCGTTCCAGCTAGCTGAAGTTTTTATTAGATAAATAGGCTCTGATTATCATTTTGTTATGGCAAGAATAGATGAAGCTACATACTTCACAAGACTGGAGGGAACTGAAAGGGATGCTAAAATTTCCTCTATCTCAATTCTGCCAACATACAGAACACTCCAAGCAACGGTTCACCACAGGGGCTTTCAGAGTTTATCCACTTCACCAAAATGCAGCTGCTTTAAAGCAATGGTCAAGTTTTCCACACTGCAAGAACTCTCCCTAAAGATCCCTGAGCTGATGAGGCATTAATGCCCACAGTTGGGAGGACTGGTGATGATATTTTCACAGTTCAGACCAGGAATGATCACTGTAACCAAAATTTGTCAAAATAGAAGATGGAACCAAAAATATTTTAGTTGCATATACTACCTGAACCTGCAATTTTTGTTTCACAGGCCGCTTTTATTAGAGTAGCAAACAAAGACTAACACTTCCATAGCAGAGAAAAGACAAGATGACAAGGTGAGCGAAAGCTGCTATGTATTGAAAAATGTTGGGGTTTCCCCCCCCTTTCCTTGTACTCCCCAAATCAGTGTGGAAGAGCAACAAGAATTAGTCTTCAGCTAAAGAAACATGTTGGCAGAGACAGTCAATTCCTGATCACCTTTTTTTCTCTTTGCTTTCTGTCTTTACAAGCTGAAATTTCTGCTTATAATTTACAAAAGCTCCAATCCCATCTCATTAAGTACATATTTATACATTTTATTTATAAATTCACAGTATATGTTTGAAGCCACCCAGCTGTTTCAAATACTTTTAAAAAGCACACTGAAAAAACAGGGCACAACAACAACAAGAACTCAGAATAACCAAGGGCTTCTGAAGGTGACATTTTTTCATAGATATGCAGTGAGGGGGAAAAAAAAAAAAAAAATCAAACTCAGAAACCAGCTTCTGTTAGGTAACTGCCATGCAGAAAAATGATAAAACATCTAATCTAAAGAAATTACATGTTCAGCAATAAAAAAAAAAGAGGGAATGGCAGTGATATGTGCAAGTGCACATCACACCTGTAGACACTGACATGCTAGTTATAAATATTACAAAGGCTAGCACACAATTTTTTCTTAAGTGGCATTTAAGTGGGGGAATTGTTTCAGGTAACTAGGTTTCAGCACCAGTAACATTTTTTCCTATTTCATTCATTTTTTTTTCCCCTTTGTCTTATACACAATAAATAAATTGGACTTTTTATTTCTTTCAGATACATGGGAGATTTGTGATTTCATTTCCTTTACCCATAACTCTATAAGGGGGGGAAAAAAAAATGACACCAAGAAGGCATTAATCCAAATACAGTTAGTGACACATGCTGTCTGACAAATAAAAGTTAAGTATCTAATGCCAAATAGAATTATTCTTGTCTAGAAGAAACAAGGTCATGCTTGTAAATGTCCAGACATCATTCTGTATTATATAATTATATTGGCATTTTTATCCCACTTAAAACTAAAGTTGTTCTTTGGAGTAAGCCTTTATCTGTCAAATTTTTTCCTTATATAAATATTGCACAGAATTTTAAACATCCTAGAAGTGACACCAAAATGATTAATAGCTTACCCAAGCTATAAAGCCCTAAGACGACGAAATATGCAGTACCACATAGCATCACATGCCAGGTTTCTTTGAGATGCGTTCCCACGCGAGAAGAACAGTTCAAACACACGCTGTCTGCAAAACAGCACTTTAGCTGAAACCAATGCCAAAAAGGAATTAGACTGACTCCTCTGCAAAGGAGTGCTGGAACAGGGACTGCCATTCGCTTCTTCCCAACTGGCCAGGGAGAGGGGGAAAAGCTCCAAATGTATTAAGTATAATGAAATTCAACAATATTTCTTCTCCCTACCAATACAACAAGGATACAAATTACAGAACAATATGAAACCATGAAGATTTGTGTTCCTGGAGAGACCTACTTTTAAAGTTGGCCTCTAACAACACTTATTAGTGGACTTATATTAGTCCCTCAGTTCTCCATGGGAGGTTTTCTTAACTCCAAGTATCCTGGCTTTCAGTCAACTTTTTTATATCCCATATCCAGCATGAGAATAAATACTACGGTACAGAGGTATGGCCACCTGGTACAACCCTTCTCCCTCCCCACCAGGGAAGGTCTTCCAATTTTGCAACAGATTTTCTTTTTTTCCCCCTGTTAGAAATGAACATTATCAGGATGCAAAGAAAGATGAGTAAACAGTGCAGGGCAGTACCCAGCCCTCCTCCGGGCTTCACTACACTTACTAACTCAGAAAGAATATCCCTCCTTTTATCTCCTCCCAAATCATCATCTCTCATTCAACCTCAATGTATCCCAAGTGCAATCCCTCAGGCTTTACCCAAGTGAGAAGGGTCAGCACCCATATGGCTTAGGAGGCAGTGTAGCATATAGCTGTTTACTGATCGAGAGTCTACCTGCCTGAACCAGCACCACTCAAACACCAATGCATCACTGGGTTTTACCGGACAACGCAGGCTCAGGATCACCTCCTGCTAGCTCAGGTCATAGGCAAAGACCCCTCGCATCTGCCTGCAAGGTTCTGCATATTTTTAGCTAAGCTGTTTTGCCAGTGTGATTCCGTTGTTGCACAGATATATGCTACACCCACCTTGCAGTGACCCCTAACCCTATGAAAGATCCTAAACGCATTTTTATGAAATGAAGGTTTAGTTAGTCTCCTATTCAGGATCAAAAAAAAAGAATGCTTCCTGCAGATTAACGTGCTAATGAAAAGCAGTTAAAAAAGACTAGAGCTCATAAAATATATATATATATATATTTTATCAGAGTGGGATGTTTTTCCATTGGAAGGTTTTGATTTGTTAAGACAACATAATTTGTAATTTCCAAAGGATCATTAAATTTTTTACAGAAGGTCTTGCTTTTGGGGGGAGGAGGTTTGTTTGTTTGGGGGGTCTTTGTTTGTTTAGGGTTTTTTGGTTTTTTTTTTAATTAAGCCATTTCAATAATGTTTGGCACATTCTGAACTCTGCCCAAAATGACACACTCATTTTTCAGGGATTATGATCTATATCACTGGTCTCCAATCTATGGGATGCACCAAATAAATAAACTTTACCAGGGGAGATGACAGCAGTGATGATGAGGAGCAGCAGACATGGTAACTCTATGTTTGGAGGGACGCCCAGCCAACATAACACTGTTAGAAGGCAGTTCCAGGAAATTGGGCATTAATAAGTGGGGAAGGGGCTACAAGAGAGAAGCGTTGAGGAGGGGCAAAAGTCAGTGAGGTCCAACTGAAAAGAAAAAAAAAAAATATTTAAGAGCAAAAGGTCTACATATACTTGGTCCTGAAATCAGAATTCAGTTGAAAAAGATGAGCCCAAAGGATCTCTTGTGATAACTTTCAGTCCCACATTAATATTTTTTTAAGTAAGTTAAAGTATTAGAAGTAAAAGCAAACTGCTTCAACTGGCCTGAAAAAAAAAAAAAATAATGGGAAATCTTGAAATTTGGCACAACTCACTTGGAATTTTAAATATGAACACTATGGAGATTTCTACAAACTGGAAATTCTAATTCCCATATAGTTTTGTTCAGGACTCCCATCTCTGCCGGCATATCTCTTAAATAATAACAATTCTCACAGCAAGATCCAGAAAGGGAAACATCTTTCAAAAGACTATTTCTTCTTCTATAGGAAGAGCTGCCCAAAGACAGTTTTTCTTAACCACCTAACATTTTAAGTCAAATGAAGATTTTCACAGGATATTTCCAGCTTTAAAAATGGCTCATTTGGTATATCCTAACACAGAAGTCCTGTGCTACATTTACTTTGAAATTTCCTTCACAAAGTCCACCTTTATACCAAACCTAGTTCAGCTACTTCATTTTTTTTAATGTCAGATTTTTACATTAATTCTGATTTCATTTAATGTATTAACCAGAAAACTCCAGAAAACTAACAGTTTTTAAGCCTAAGCTAAGTGGTTTGAGTTCTAGGATTCATTTGACATCAAAAACTAATCAAGCTGCAACTAAGTGTAGATTTTAAATCCAACCGCACATTTTGCATTTTAAAGTTATCTGTCTTTATAAAACTAAGTAGTCCCATTCTGCCAATATTCACTTTAAGTGTGCAAACTGCAATTTCATTCAATACCCTGCTGTTTATTTTGTTCAGCAGTTAGTTCAACTAGAAGTGCACATATTAATGAATTGCACTAAAGCTATAGAAACTAAGTAGAGCCCAAAGCCTTCGGCGTGGCCAAGGAGAGCTTTGCTAACAGCTGTTATAAAACCAGAGCTACACAGTGGTTCAGCTAGCTTTTCAAAAGAAATATGAATAAGAGGACAGTCCTCAAAAGCAAACAGATCTGGCTGGTCCCAGTTTAGTCTGGATTGTCTGCCCTGAGCTGCCAATCACAATAAATTCACTGTTTTTACTAGAAAACATTTTCTCAGTTATTCTCGATTGCTACCTAATATCACAAGATATTATCTAACGTTAATTCAAATTGTTAGCTCAAGATATTACGTAACAGTAAATACACAGCATTTTAAGAGCAGATTACTTTCAGTAGCAGTAGTTTGTCTCACTGAAATCAATACCTACAACTGTGGATGGCTTCAAGCACACTTAGAGCTGGAAGCACAAAGCAAAACATACCCAAGATGGCTTCAGGCTATCCAGTGTGAATCCTTGAAGCACCTTCACTTAGTTGTTTTCCCCAAGGAGGAAGCCCCATTTCCTACCTTTATTGCTACCACACCTAAGCTGGAACAGGGTATTGTATTACACCTTGCAGATTTGCCAGCATAGTCTCATTTCACATTAGAGACTCACCAATAGAAGCTTTACCAATGGCCCTCCTCGCAGATATTTGTTTTAAACTTACCTTGCAAATACTCTGGTCTTTTATATTCTTCACAGCCATACTTTCCTTATGATCTCCCACAATAAATCTACCTGTGGCATTATTATTGATGCTACAGTAAGCACCTAATGTACATTGCACACATTTGCCATACAATGAATCAAAATGACAGATCTCCCTCCTTTCCCCATCCGTATGTTTTAATCCCAAAAAGGAGGGGTTTCTGGCATGTTGAGAACACTACAGATTATACTAAGGCAGAATTGTTTATAGAAGCACATGACTGAATATCAAGGACTTTAAATTCTTATACATTTAATAGAGTATCACTACCAGTCTGTTTTGACCAGTAGTTGGTTTTCTTTATTTTTCTCTATTTAGAAAAAAAAAAAACCAAACAGAAATCACAATGCAAAGCGAAGAAGAATTTACAAATTCCAGGGTTCTGTAAGGTGACCCTCATGATTAGAAATCTCAGGTGCCTGGTTCTCTGCTGTGTTAGACCTTACACAGCCATTTACTCTTGCATGTCCACTCGGTATCACGTCCTGTCAACTTCTGTGCACGTGCTTAAGTGACCATACAAGTAAAATATAAAAGCTAAGGTTTTAGGTTTGAACACCTTTAAGAACTTTTTTATAGGAAAGAACCACAGGATAATTCAGGCTGGAAGGGATCTGTGGAGATGTCTAGTTGCAGAGCAGGGTCAGCTCTGCAGCCAGACTCAGTTCAGAGCTTTATCGAGTGGGATCTTGAAACCCTCCAAGCATGCAGATGACACAAACATACTGACCAGACTGTCCCACTTCTTGGCTATCCTCAGGGTGAAACAGCTTTTCCTTATATCCCATGTGAACCTCTCTTCTGTCAACTTAAGCCTGTTGTCCCTTGCACCACTGTGAAAAGCCTGGTTCAATCTTCTGGATACCTGCCAGACGGGGTTTTGCCCAAGGCTGCCTCTTCTCTGCACATTCTTGACCTTTACTTCCTCTTAAAAAACTGGAATATGTACTTTGCCATGATAAAAATTATTCTTGAAATACAAATTGTTTTACTGCAAAATTGACTTGGAGCCCTCAGTCTACAGCCAAAGCTGAAGAATTATTCCTCCCCCTCTAACCAAGCACAGCCAAACACCACACATTTCAGCTTAGTTTTGTCTATTGCACTAATTATACTCTTATATTAGTAATTATAAAAAAACTCAAATAAAACAAAGCAGCATGTTCAGACACTCTGTCTGTAACTACAAATAACAAATTGCAGTATGGAGATATGACAATGCACAAAATGCATGGACCCCCTGTAAATAAAGTATTCAAATGCCTGTTTTCTTCAATCCTATACAGCTGTTATTTTTCATCTTACCTGACAAGATTTACCACAGTATTTTGCAACCTTGCACTGAGAGCAAGTGTGCAGATGTTCGTTCCTGTTTAGAAAAAAGAAAAAAAAAAAAATCAGTTATAAATACAAATAGAGCTTTGTATTTATCCTTCTTACATAACTAGCAATTTTCAAATATTCCAAGGCAAGAAAAATATCTGAGAAACAAGAGTAGTCTAAAATGCACTGTTACACAAGAAGAAATGGTGCACAGTTATGTTCAAAGCTATATCCACAATACTTTACTCATGTGACTCAGCACCTCTGGGGCCACTTAGGATCAACAGTAAAGATATCAAATGTGCTTTTTTTTGTGCCATATAGCTAAAAACCTGAGGAGTTTGATTTTATAGATAACATCATAATTAGAGCTGTGCAATACAGCTAGTTAATCTATTTATTATCTAGCTTGAGTCTTGTCTTAAGCAAGTATCATTATTTGTCTTAAGCAAGACCTTGTTTGTGAACCTGCAGTTGACCTCAAACTATAACTTCATAACAGAGTCTGACATTGACATGTCAGCAGAGATTTCTGTCTTAAGAAAATACTTCTGACTGGTGGACAGCAAGATCAAAATAAAGATTCATTTGGGGCGAAAAAAATAAAAATCTAGTGAAATCTAGAAGGATGACTACCAGAGCTACAGGTCACAATCTGAGGTTGAAAGAACCTCCTGACTCTAATACCATTTCCTGATGCTGTCTTAGTTTACAGTTCTATGACTTAAAGCATTGCTGAAGTTTTGTAAGTTTTTAGATGCTAAATGCTGAATTTTTAGAATACTAAATGTGAAAGCACACACCGAGCAAATCTTACGCCTCAAGTATGCGAGTTCAAGTAAAGAGGCTTACTTTAGACGAGTGGAACCAAGATATCCTCCCCCCCCCCCACCCACTTTTCCTGTAGAAAATACTGAACATGTTGCATTATTCTGGTAACACTGGGTGGTTTTCACTTTGATCTCTTAACATGCAAAGTTACTTGCATGCATTATGGGTGTTCATTAGGCTAGGAAAACAGTATATACTTTTTTGTTATTAAAACTGAAGGTAGGAGAGTTATATAAAGGGAACAATTAACTGGACTGTATAATACTTATTACTTCCCCTCAAACTTACACCTGGCCATCCCTTTGACCTTAACCAAGCACAGTACCTGACTGGACACCACCATTACCCCTTCAGCTGCACGCAGCTGAACACAGCTCAGTTACACCCAAGAAACCGTCACCGTGAGCTACTCCTCTGTACCCCCCTTTTCCATCCTTCTGCAAGGCAGGGAAGGAGGTACGTGTCAGTCACGCCACTCTCCCACTCAAAAGGCAATTTCAGTAATGCAATCTTTGCACTGCTATAGCGCTTTACATTTAGCTGCCTCAAATCTTATTATACAGATTAATTCAGCCTTCCAATTTAATCGGGAGATAACTAAGTGTCTCACACAGCCCATTTCAAACTGAAAGGGCACGTTCAAATGATCAGATGAAGGACCTTTCTCTGCAAGTCTCCCTGGTGTCTGCACATCAGTACTTGGTGTGTTCTTCTCACTCACTCGCCCAACTGATACAACTAAAACAAGGTGTAATTCTCTGTCTCCGCTGACACCACAGCAAAACTCCTCCACTGTTGTCAGTAACCTAGAGGCTGCATACCATGTACTCAGACTCCAGCTGCTTTATGATGTGAGTTTTCTTCTTTTACCTACACAACTCCATTGTCCCCAAATTTTAATTTCTATGGGTGACTTCAAAAAGGTAGAACACTCTCCAAAGGCCACATCCAAAAACGTCAACAGCAACATGCCCACAAACCTCAGTCTAGAGCTTCTAGATGATGAATTTAGCCCACTGATTTCAGCTGACAACAAAACTGTCAGGAGTAGAGGCAGAACACCAGAAATACCATGGAGCATTGTCTAGCACAAACCAACCCCTCCTTTCCCTCAAGTCCCACAAGTGGAAAATGTATTTCACTAATATATCAAAGTATTTCTATGTTTGAATTATTAAAAATAATAGCTTATGCACCATCTTAGGGCTTTTATAAGCATTTGGGGAGTTTAGATAGCTGCATTAGTCGAAGATTAAGAGGAGCATTATGCACAGAGCACTAGAATCAAGTTACAATCCTTTCATTTCTACTGCGTAAAAATCACTCTTGTTGCACAATATTTTGTAGGCATTTCTACTAACTACCAGGAGAAAAATAAATTAGAAGTATTTCAGATGTAAGCACATATTTTGCTAGTGCCTTTACCTTCCAACCTGGAAAGCCAGCCCTGGAGACTGAAAAAACTAGCAGCTGTTGGATTCCCATGAACAGAATCTAAAATCTCCTACACGTACAATAGTTTTTTTTATTTTAAGGTGCAATGCCTGAGGACAATTCAGAGTTAGAAACAAGTGTGAAATCTTCATTTTGCCAGGTGGGGAGAGCTTGCTTCATTTTCAAGGTTGAGCAATGACACAACTTTAACCAGCCTATGATAGAGGAGCACGTATTTCTCATTCTAGATTAAAAGCTCGTGTCAGAGTAACTTTAGGAAGAAATAGACTTCAGTGGAATAATTACCGTAGACAATGGAAAAGAAACAGAAATGCTGTTTGGACCTGCTCATTGATTTGGGTATCAGAAGCAGTCCAGGTACAAATACATGCTCATAAACCACACATACAAATTCTTCCCCACTGAGATAAGTTTTGACACATCTTTTAATACTAAGCAGCACGTTGTATCAAGGACATGAAAGAATCATTTCTAAGAAATCCACACCTTCTTTCTAGACATTTCACAATTAACAGGATAGATTAAAACCTTTCTGAAGCTAGACCTTTCAAATTATTGAAGGAAGACACTATAAGAACCTCAACTTGTTTAGCTACTGCTCTATGACCTTTTGAGTCTGCCAGTGAACCATGCACATCACTGGCAACGTTACCATTAAAAAAAATCTGCCTACTGACCCAGTTACAGAAAAAAAAAAAAAAAAAAAAAAGCAGCCAAGCACCTAGAACTTTGGTTTGCTGTTCAACTCCCCACACGCACAACCACAGCCCTCAAGACAGTCACTCTGCAGCATGCCCCTGTTGCTCTTTATAGGTGTTTTACATGGATGTAGAGAACCAGAGAGGTCACAGAGAGGCTTTCAGCCTCTCTTTTTCTAGAAGTCTCCTTTGCATTCAGTATTCTACATCCATGCTAGAGGTCTATATCAAATTTCTCTTCATCATTATATAGTAGTATCTGAATGACTGAGTGCTCGCCCTACTGCAGAATGACTGAGCAAAACTGTTTTGAAGGCAGACTTTTTTTGTTCTAAATGCTATTCATCAAAACATAGTAATTACTTAGGACTTTGATAACAGAGTATTTGTAACTTTAGTCCCATACACGTTAAAGTACCAAAAAGTCTCAGCAGAAACAAGTAAAACAGAGTAATATAACTCCGAAGCCAGAATTTAAATGAATGCATGTCCGTAACTATCAGAGAAGTCTCTCCTACAGATTTCACATTCTTCCATCAGAAGGCTAGATCCGACAACCTGAATATACTGCAAGCATACCTTGCCTTGGTATACCTCTTGGTATTTTTCCAAGAGATGCCAAGATTTAATGGAATCATCGGTGTTAAGTCACCAACACTTACCCATTCTTTCTTTTGTAAAACAATTAGTTGACCTGTCAGCACAAAGCACCAAACTCCTTCAGCACCCTCCGAAGTTTCAGTACTTTGCAGAATTATTGCCTTTGTATCCTTTGCCCACAAGGGTTAACGATGCTGCAGCAACAAATGCACACACACGCACCAAAAAAAAAATAAAAAAATTAAGGACCATCACTCAAAACTTGGATTTTTGCCAAATTGACACTACCAGTCAGATTATTTGAATAAGGTGACTCCCTGCTGGCACTGTATAATGAATGAACTATCCATTCATCTTCTGGGGTTTCTTTGAATGACAAGCAGATGTAGAATGTCTGTTACAGAGCTGAATAGTAAAGCTACTGATGAAATTGTTGCTTTTTCTTCCAATCCTCTTCTCCTTCTCAGACTAAAAAAATTCCTTTAGATTTACAGCATCTATGAATCTTGCTATGGGACATTTTAAATGTAAACCAGCATGATCTAAAACACTTAATCTCAATGTAAAGAATTCAAGAACAAGATTCATGTATTCATATATACAGGATTCATGTATTTCAGAACATTTTTTAAAGTGAGGCAATTTGCCTAGTTTATTCCTGTCCTTCTCAATCTTCTATTAATGTTATAGGCTTTATTGAAACAGTTTTAAAGTCACTGTCAAATACTCACATGCATTTTTCAGTACCTGTAAACATCATTTGGAGATAGTATCGGGTTATTCACAAGGTATCGACTTCATCTTGCCTCATGTGACTAATTTCATAGATGAGAAAACGCACAGAATTTGATCTAATGCATTCAGTAATACTTTAATCTCTGAAAAAGTTGCTGCTGCAATAGGAAAGAAAGATGCAGCAATCGAAAATTACTTTTCAAATATAGCTTCAGCAACATTTTCCAAACGACCACAACCCCTTATGAAACAGCAAGCACAAGTGAGGATCTTAAACTATACTAAAAAAAAAAAAAAAAAAAAAAAAATCCACAAGAATAACGTAAGCAGGGGTTGTCATTTGTCCTCTACTGTGGTGTTACAGTCAGGTGAAGAATCTTTACCCTGAGCAATTTGGATATCACTAATTCTTTTCATCATTATTGTCTACAAACACCATTCATAGAATAAGCTCTCCCAACGTGTACTGAGAAGGAAAAAAAAAAACAAAAAAAAAACAAGCCCCAAATATATAGGTGAGTGGGTGAAGATTGATACAGACAGAAGACAAAAGAAAACCTATGAGACAGGGGAAAAAACTAGTAAGACAGTTCAACAGGAAGTAGCACACACATCCTCCCCAGTAAAAAACCTTTTTTTCTTTTGGCTTTTTTTAAATTCCTTTTTGGTAAAGGTAGGAGAGGACTGTAAGGAGGGGGCTGATGATGAGCAGTGAGGCAGACAGGTC